GGCATGGTAAATGGGGGCTAAAATATCAAACTATGAAGAACAAGGCTGAGAACCTCTCTGAAACTGAACTGTCCATAAGATCTGTGGAAGCTAAGAAAATAAAGAGTAACAAACCACCAAGATTACGTAGTATTCACCCCAGGGTTTAAAACCCCCTTTGGCATGAAGTGAATCCCTCAGTTCAGCACTGAGATTCAGGAACTGAATCAATCCGTGCAGCAAGTCACTTCTCCAACACTGCCTTAACACCAAATACCCAAAAGATGGCAAATGCCATGCTTCAAGAGTATTTCAGAGTTCTAAGCATATTCCAGTAGACAGCTGTAGAAAGACCAGTACATTTGACACCATTTCTGGGCAAACTGATAGAAACTGAATAAAATGCAAACACTTTCAATAATCCAAACAAACTTACATTGTGGCAGGGGGAAACGTATTCATGGATGTATAAAGAAGTTTTTCGAAGATGTCAGCAAGTAAGTGGGTGAGGGAGACCCAGCAGGAATTTGCTTGGGCGCTCAGAAGACGTTCAGCTGCAGTCCTTTAAGAGGTGCCTGCAGACACTGAGCCACCACAGAGTGAGGGGAGGATTTTCTCTTGGCTAAATATTCAGTAAAAATAAGAGGGAGCAGGAACTGTGCTCTGCAAGCACTGATGCAGCAGAGACAGTGATGAGAGCCCCGTGACACTGAGTGATTACAGAGACTAATGATGGTTTAATAAACAGTGCTTAGACAAAAAGGCAAAGAGATCTTCTGGGAAAGGGAGAGAAAACTTCATTTTGCTGTCATATAAATCAATGCCACAGCGTCTGGGATGCTGCTGCACGCTGCTTCCCCAACAGAAAACTGACAGAGAAAACACACAAAGGAGGGAGACAAAGATGATGAACACTGAATAATGGAAGAGGCCGGAAAGAAACAAAAAACAAACAAACAAAAACAAAACCTACACCCTCCCTCCAAAAAGGAAAAAACAAACAATCCACAAAAACGGCTGAAGGAGAGGGTTTTATAAACCTAGGAGTGACTTGGAGGAGACGGCCAAGGAATGAATTTTCAATGCATCTGCTGAAAGAGCCGGAGGGCAATAAACCAGAGCAGCTGGCGGGAAGGTGGGGGGAAGATGCGCGGCCCAATCTCCCACCGGGGAATGTGGCATTCTATCACATTGAAAACAAGAGAGGAAAGCGGCAGAGCCCCTGGGAGCCACATCCTCCGGAGCCCGGGCTCGGACACCCCTGCCCGCCGCCCCGGGGGCTGCGGGGCACAGCGGCACCGCGGCCCGGCCCCGAGGAGGGCCCGGCCCGGCCCGCCGAGGCCTTTTGCTGTGGTGACACCCCCTGGGGCTGCCTGCTGCTGCGGGGCCCCGATGCTGGACCGAGTCCAGAGGAGGCCCCGAAGCTGCTTCAGGCGCTGGAGCCCTCTGCTCTGGAGCTAGGCTGGGAGAGCTGGGGGTGCTGACCTGGAGAAGGCTGCAGGGAGAGCTCAGAGCCACTTCCAGGGCCTAAAGGGGCTCCAGGAGACCTGGAGAGGGACTGGGGACAAGGGATGGAGAGATAGCACACAGGGAATGGCTCCCACTGCTAGAGGGCAGGGATATTGGGAAGGAGTTCCCTCCTGGGAGGGTTGGGAGGCCCCAGCACAGGGTGTCCGGGGAAGCTGTGGCTGCCCCATCCCAGAAAGCGTCCACAGCCAGGAGCAACCTGGGATAGTGGAAGGTGTCCCTGCCCATGGCAGGGGGTGGAACGAGAGGCACTTTTAAGATCCCTCCAATCCAAACCATTCCATGATTCTATAAAGAAAAAACATTACCTGCTTTCCTAGGCTGAAAATCACAGCATAGGAGCCCTGTGCTAGGGAAAATGAGCAGGACTGAGCTCCTGGCACAGCTCAGCATCCCTGTGCTGGTGTGGGCTGGCAGCAGCATCCACATCCCTCCTCACCCTGGGACCTGGTGCTGGAATGTGTTCCCTTTGGCAACCAGCACTGCACCTATTTGCAGTGGCTGTGAACCACAGCCCTCACCTTCTCCAAATGAAGTTCCCTAAGAACACCAATTAACTGAGCAATAAAATATCCAAACTTTCCAATTGCTGACCCACTTGTCTCACCTCCCTGCGAGCTCTCCCTCCCAGCACTGGGTCTCCCAAGGCCTCCTTTGGTTGAGGTGCACCTTTAAGGCAGGAATTGGCTGGTCCTGGACGTGTGGCAGCACTGGGCATGGCACTGCCTGAGCTCATTTTGGAGGAACGCAAACACTCCTTGAAATTCTTGAGTGCGATCTGCCTCTGGAGCCGCAGCACCTCTCGCTGGGATTCCCGCAGCAGGCGGTCAAACTCGATGACGTTCAGGCAGCGAGGGTCATCCTGTGGGAAACCAACCATGGCACCATGGCACTGACAAGCTCCAAAAGGTGGGGCATCTCACATTTAACATGCAAACTCCAAAAGAGGAGAGGCTGGGAAAACCCACGTAGTGTGGCACACATGCATGGCTGATTCCTGGGTCTCCAAAGCCTCAAAACTCACTTTACAACCTTTATGCAAAAACATTATTCCTTGTGAAGATGAAACCCAGACTGTAATGCTCCTGCAGCTCTCCCAGCAGGATGTGCAGAGCTTTTCCAAGCATGGGCCATCTCATCACATGCCAGCAGGGAGCGTGGTAGGATAATGTCATTTCACAGCCCAGCCAAACCAGAGCTCTCGCTGTTTTCTTTACTCCTTGTTGTGGGTGCTGGCAATCTCTTGGCTTGAGAGGTTGCAGGAATGAAGAACATCTGGGATTTGGTCAGTTCTTACTCAAAATAATATTTGGTTTCCTCACATTCTTGATTTCTCTCCTCTCAAGACAGTATGTGTGATGGACACCGATACATAGCACAAGGGGTCACTCCCATCCACACACGACCCAAACACAGCAGCTTTTAGAAGGAAACCAGCACAATCTGACTATCACAAAGCTGGGGAGAATATGTCACCAGCTTGTTTGATTCTTCAAAGGCTTCCAAATTTCAGGAAGCTGAAGAAACACGTACCTGCATGTCCATATATACAAAATCAAGTTATAAAAACCTGTGTTTAAAAATCTGCTGCTCGAGGGGACATTGTTCATTCCCCTGGAAAGCTTCTAAGCCAAAGAATTCAAGACATAACTGGTATCCAGGACAAATTTAATTTGCTTCCTTGTTTGCTTCTTTTTTGCCCTAAAAATAGTGTGTGCTTTATAAATACAATTTGTGGAGAGAACCATGGTTACTCTCACGCTGCAAGGGGGAAACTGAGGCAGTATTAATGGGAACTGATTATAGATTCAAGAAGTGAGCAGCTGGGCCTGCTCTCTGCCAGCTCCACGTTCAGGCTATCAGGGTAGTAGTTCTTTAAACAAAATTGGCTGGGGCTATGTATAAAATCTCCCTTCCCCCACCACAAAAAGGCAGCTATTCCCAACAGACAGCCTTGGAAGCCTGGGGGAATAAGGGAGTAGAAAAAAGCTGAGTACTCCCCTCAGTTTCTATTATACCGATCCCCCTGCAGCTGTTCCCCCCCCAGTCCTCCACGTCCAAGAATCCATGCTGCAAGAAATTGCAGCCTGGATTTAGCTGGAGCCAGGGTTTGGTTGGAAGCAGATCACTGGAGTATGATTTCAGGAAATTATTTTATTCTGTCCTAAGAGCCCTGGCTTTGCAAAGCAAGGCCAATGCATTTGCAGCCTGGGGTGCAGGTTGTGAGTCCTGCTACTGCCAGGGAACTGAGTGGATCCTTTTCATCACTACTGAAAAATTTCTACTGATTTAAATACCCACGATTGAAATTGATTTGGTTACAAACTCTAAGTGTGCACATCATATCTCTGCATAAAACACCCTTCATTGGCATAATGCATTTTGCATGCTGCAGACAGATTAGGGGAATTTGGAATTTTAAGTAGCTGGAAATTAAAATTTAATGAGTGGTTTGCTTGGAAGAGAAATGGGAAAAACAAGATCAGACAGAATGATCTATACTGCTCTCTTTTCTATGGATTCCCTGCTCAGGCATCAATGTCCCGGCTCCTGGTGCCACAGACAAGGTCACGGTGGTCACCCAGGTCAGCCAAGAAAGGCAGTGACTGAATTTGTCAGCCCTGGGGGTTGCACCCATGTGCTTTTCCTTGGCCAGGAATGAACCTTGCTCACCCACTTCTGTCACATTCCTTTGCAATCTGTCACACCTGTCCCTAGCAGGTCCAGATTGCCCAGCACACTCTGCTAGGAAAATCAGAGTGCTTTGGAAAGGGTCTGTTCCCCTTTCTATGGGGGCCTGAGGTGAGAAATCAAAGGCATGGGAAGGAAACTTCTTGCTTACACTGTAGAGCACAGAAAGACCTGGATAGGTTTGTCCTTCGGTTTAATGCCAGGCAAGATCAATGGGGCAGCTCTGTACAAACACCAAATACACCCCATTGTTCTAGTCCTGACTAGATCTACATTAGGAAAAGACTGAGAATCCACCTTCAAACCTGTAGTTAAATTGAACATATGGGGAGGTCAGGGACAAAAATAAAGATATTTTCAGTGAGGAACTATTTGTCACCTAAATACCACGTAAGTAGGACAGGTAGAAGTGCAAGTGTTCAGCTCAGCTGGGGGCAGGGAGGTAGGATGTCACTTGACCACATTTGCATTAGCAAAACAGGAGGAAACCAGCATAGGCCCAAGTGTTACTGAGATCCTTTGGAGATTTGAACTGACCTAAACTGCAAGCATCCAGTCTGGGAATCAAAGATACAATTTAGATGCCCAGAACAGGTTGCTTTAGTCACCTTGAGTGGGAACCATCTCACCCAGCCCCAGCTGTCTGCAGAGGCTCCTTTCAGAAAAGTCACAGAGAAGAATGTTGCAAGAGTGACACATCTGACCAGTCCTAAATCTTGGGATGAGCTGAATTACCACTTTATCCCACCATTTATATTGACATGGCCTGGGCTGGTACTGAAGGGAATGCAGATCACCAGCCCAGGAGCAGACAGCAGCACTGCAGATGGTTTCATGAACACCCAGCCCTGCCTGCTGATTTGTAGCTGTCATAATAAACATTTCAGGAGGCATTGAATTATCCCCAGTCTCATGGTGGCTGTGACTCCTCAGAAAGCTGCAGCTTGAAGCTTGGGATCTAGATTGGTTTTTGGGAATGTGCTTCTCAAAGAAACGCTTTGAAAGGAGGCCCTGCTTCTTGCCCACATCTTGCTTGCAGCTCATCCTTTTGAAAAGTCACCCTGTGTCTGTGGCTTATCAGGGGTTTCCAGGGAAGGAGTTTTAGGAGTTTTAGTCACTGCTGGAAATGGCAGCTCAGATCCATGAACTGATAGAGGGACAAGCAGGGTGTCCCCCAATGCACTCTTCTGGAGAGATATGGACAGTCTCTGCCACACTCTTTCTCTGCCACTCTTTCTTTTACTACATGCATTGTTTTGCTCTTGATGTTTTCTTCTGTTCATGACCAAAAAATGTTAGTAATAGCAACTTTTGTTGATATCTTATATTTCTCTATGCAATTTTGCAAAACAAGTGTCCCCCAAGTGTCCCCACTCAGCTCACACATCAAATCCCCTCCCCTGTTTTCAGCCTCTATTTGAGGCTAATTCTCCCACCCCCGCCCTCGCCACCACTTCCCAGAGCCTGGCTTCCATCACCACTGTTTGTTCTTGGCCCCAGCCCTGGAGTGATGTCCCACAAAGTGTCTCACCTTCCCTGCCAGAAGTTTAGCCTGCAGTTCCCGGCATTCCTGCTGCAGAGCTTCAATCTGCTTGTCTTTTTCCAGGAGAGCACTGGCTTGCTCTGTCAGGTCCTTGGCACGTTGGCGGGCAAATGCTTTTTTGCACAGTTCCAGGCTGGAGCCCTTCAGAGGCACCGGAGCAGTTACCTACACCAGAGAGCAGTGAGGTGTGTTCATGTTATCCACCACCTCATCACCACTTGGTGTTCAACAACCACCACCCCATCACCCTTTGGTGCTCCTTAACCACCACCCCATCACCCAGCACAGGGAGCACTGCCAACAAAATTCAGCCTGGCCCCAAAGGAGAGACAAACAGACAGAGGAGAAGGACAGACCTATGGAAAAGTAGAAGAGGAAAGGCTGGATGGAAAAGTGGCTCAAAGAATAGGTGGGAAGTACAATGTACCCAATAGGTACAACCAGCACGGGGGCTGCAGGCAGGGCAGAAATGGGGAGGGGAAGGAGAGAAAAACAGGATGAGGTAAAAAAGACAAGAGAAGACAGCAGAGAGGAGGGGAGAATGGTAGGAAAGATGAGCATGGGATCAAAGATGATCAATACGGGATCAAGGGTAGAGATGGTGAAATCAGGAAGAGAAACAGATTGCATGGGTTTCTAGTAGGAAAGAGCTTCTGCATGGATGGGCAGAAGATAGAGGGAAAGGCAGAAGCTAAGGAGAGCCCATCCAGGGCCAGCGCAGCCAGTGGGGACTGGGAGAAAAGCAGGACTGGGGGAAAAGTAGTTCAGGTTCACATGCTCCCTGAGAGGGAGGAAAGCGTAAGATGGGGATGGCAGTGTGCTTAGGGGGAGTGGGGCAGGCAGGGACAGGCAGATGGCTGAGTATAGGCTCTGCCCAGCCACAGTGTCCCTGGGATGTCCCCATCCCTGGAGTTGGCTCTCCCACTGGGTACCAGCACCAAAGACTTGGATGAAGGGGCAGCTGAAACCCTCTGTTCATCCCAGTCCTACAGGCAGTGAGGATACATCCGGTCTCCAGGGTTATCCAACCCTGCCTCTCTCTGCCCAGCTATTTTCATCTGCACAAAGCCTGACAATCTGGGAAGGGGATCCTCTGCTGCCAGATCAGGCACACAGAATCCTGTGTGCAAAGTTTTCTTCCCCAGGTCTTCCCAAATATCTCATGCATGTGCAGAAGCTGTGTGGCCATAGCTCCACAGGACCTGGTACCAAACACTGGAGGGATCTGGTGCCAAATTAACCCCAGCTCCTCAGGGCCCCTTCTCTGGTCGTATCTCCAGCCCACCCTCCAAAAGGCACAGCCACCCCAGCACTTGCTGCTGTCAGGACACGTGGGCCAGCAAGTCAGTTCTCCAGGGCTTGCACAGGCCCTAAACTGTCCCCACCTCAAAGTTTCACTGGGGAAACAAATAAAACAGTATTTGTATAGGTGCTGGAGGGTCTGCATAGTATGTCAAATGGTTTCTCTCAACATAGTATCTGACAAGTCCATCTGTTGCCCTGCAAGTACCAAAACCCTGTGACAGAGGGCAGCAGTGCCAGGAAATCCCCCTACCTTTTCTCCAGCACAGCTTTCACTTCCTCCTTTCTACCCTAAATGGCTTGAATTCCCCATCACAATCCCTGCTTTCCTTCAGGAAGGTGTGCCCAAGATGTGTTGCCCTGCAAGTACCAAAACCCAGTGACAGAGTGCGGCAGTGCCTGGGGACGGAGAGGGCAGCAGTGCCAGGAAATCCCCCTACCTTTTCTCCAGCACAGCTTTCACTTCCTCCTTTCTACCCTAAATGGCTTGAATTCCCCATCACAATCCCTGCTTTCCTTCAGGAAGGTGTGCCCAAGATCCCATACCCTACAGCCACCTCCCACTGCTGCTGCACCATGTCACACACTCCAGGGTTCACAACAAGCTGCTGTTGGGTTGGAAAAGGCAGAAACCCTGTGGTTTGCGCAGCATTTCCAGTGAGGTGTGGATGGGACAGAGCTGCCTCTCACCCCTTCCTGTTTTGCTTCACCGCACTCCTTTTCTTTTTCAAATTCTTCCTGTTTCTTTTTGATGAAGTCAGATGAATTATTTTCATGACTTGCCCAAAGAAAGCAGAGTTAATTATTTTAAACTATGACCTTACAGTAAGAAACCAAGCAGGAAGAAATTCCTCAAACCAGCCCCAAGAGGAGTAGAGAAGCTGGCAATAGCTGGGTTTGGTGATTCTTGCTCTGCTGTGACGTGCAAAGCATGTTTGCTGTAGGTTTAAGAAAAAGGGAAAGGAAAAGCCTTTCTAGCTCAATGGAAGCAGAAAACCAAAGGTCCTGGTGGTGAGATGCTCTCCCAGCCCAGGTCCCCAGCCGCAGCAGGTCCCAGCACCCACCACTTTGAGGTTTGCCTCCTGGAGCTTCCGGGCTCTCTCCTCCAGGCGCTTGGCGATCACCGCCAGCTCCGCGTTCTTCCTCTTCAGGTGCTTCACCTTCTCCTCTGTCTGGGGGAAGCAGCTCCTGCGCTGGAGACCAGAAGGAGAAGTTGGAGGTGAAGCCTTTGCTCAGGAGCCAACATCCTGGCCTGTACCTGACCTAGGGAGGGCACAGAGGCCTTTTCCTGGCCAGGGCTTGGCCTGTTCTTTTGGAACTATCCCAACCATTGAACACCAATCTCTGTTGCCTCTCCCATCCCTGAAAACTGTGTTTTCCTGGTATTTTTGTTAATGTAACCTCTCAATCTCCATAAGATACCCTTCACCCCACCCCAGACCATCCCACATGGTCCCTCTCCATCCACATCCCTGTTGCAGGCTCTGCTAGGACTCAATGTGTTTCCAGCATCAGGGTATACACGGTATATCCACACTTTGGGCTTTCTCTTCCAGAGCCTTCCCGGTTTATTTCCCCAGGATTACAGGACTCATCACATGCCTGAGCATTTGTAATGCACCACCACAGCAAGCTTATCTGTGACCTTTCTGTCCTGACACCAAAGCATGAGCAGGAGAAGGCGACAAATGACTTTACAATATTTGCAAAGCAAATTTCCTTTTTCTTCCTATTGATTCTGTTCGCTCTTAATTCCCTTTTATTTGTTATCTGTCTGTTCCAATAAGCTGCCTCTTGCCAATGGCTCCTTCTCCCAAGGTCGAACCCAGATGTGTTATGCTGTCTTTTCACATCAGCAGAAACGTCAGGTTGACTCATCCTCACGATAATTTCCCTCCCTGCCCCTGTGAGAGTGCACCATGGGTGCCTGGGCTGGAAGGCTGAGGCTGATTTTTAAGAGTCAAAATTTGACACACAGGCTTGTGCTTCACTAAAATCCAGATGACTTGATAAGGGGTAACTCCTTGGGGTGCAGGTCATGCTGAATTTATGCTTTTAGTGTAAGAAAATTCTCTAAAATATGCATTTTGAATGGGGTGATATGAATCTGAAATGCTGAGCAATCAAATTTGCCCAGCATGGCTGGGCTGCACCCACACACTGCAGGGCTGGGGTGATGCTCTCCAGGAGGATGCAGGAGGGGAATATCCCCTCTTTCCTGAGAATCCTGGCTAGCCCACCTGGGGAGTCAGGGATGAGGGAGGGGGCAGAAGGTAGATGGCCCAGGCTGTGGCAGCCTGGCTTGGCTTTGGGGTGCAGCTGGGGAGGATGCTGGTGCTGGGCTCTCATGGGAGCAGGGGGCAGTGCTGCACTGTCACCCACAGCCAAGGCTGAGTGAATCAGTGTTTCTGCTTTTCCAGTTAAAGAGGAAACAAGAGTGACTTCCCCTCCCCTGCCCAGCCCTGCTCAGCACTGCAGGGAAGGGTCCAGCTCCAGCTGATGGCTGCAGCATAAAGGGGACTCATAGCACCAGACCTCCTTTGTCCTCTGGCCCTGTCCAGGTTATCTCATGAGCTCAAGAAGCATTTGGACAATAGTCCTGTACATGGTGTGACTCTTGGGGATGGTTCTGTGCAGGGCCAGGAGCTGGACTCAATGATTCTTGTGGGCACCTTCTCACTCAGCATGTTCTGTGATTCTGTGATCTCTTAGAGTTGGCAGCAGAGAGCAGCTCTCTGTGTCCAGGACTCCCTCCCCACAGAGCATCCATCCCATGACAGCATCTCCTGCTCACCAGCAAGCTGTTCTCCTCGGCCAGGCTGGAGCAGCGGTGCCGCAGGTCCTCCAGTGCACTCAGGAGCTTTGTGTTCTGGCTCACGAGGAAGCTGTAGTCAGCCCCACTCTGCAAAACAGTATGGAGGGGCAAGGCAGGACTTCACCTGCCTGGAGCAGGGACTGCAATCATGCAGGACCACAGGGATTCACCAGGGGCAGTGACAGAGGGGGATGCAGCCTCACACCAGCCCCAGCCCTGTGGTGAGCCTGGCCTGGCTGTGCCAGTGGCTGGTGGGGTCAGGGTGCTGGTGGCAAAGGGTGGGATGTGGGGGCTGATTTCAAGAGGAGGCAAGGCACTGCATGTCCACTGGGCAGCAACTGGCCTTTGAGACCACCCTGAGGGTGACAGCTGCCATCTCTATAGCTTTAAGAATGCTTTCAACTTCCACCCAGGAAAAAAAGCCCAGACCCTTCTGTTGTCCTGAGCCATGGCACCATCCAAACTGGCTCAGGTGAAACATGGGCAAAGCCAGCAAGACCCAGGCAGGCAGAATACAACCCCTGGCACCCCAGGCATGTGTGCTTCTCCTCACAGCTAAAGGATGCAGTGGCCTCCAGCTCCACATGGCTTTGGAGGCAAGCAGACTTCCTCACTCTCTTCCCCACACCAGCACTCGTGTTCAGCCCAGAGCCAGACCCCAGACCATCCTCTCTGTGTCAGCCTTGGCTTAAAAAAAAGGTGACATGCAAGATTCTTTGCAAACACCACCTTCATTTTGCCACCTCAAAAGCAGCAGCAGCAGCAGCTCTGCCAGGACCTGTATATAGAATTTTGTGGTTGCCGCTTCCTGCCCAGAGCAGCTCGCCGCAGGCTCTCTACCGGAGCCAGCTCCCAGCAAAGATTTCTGGGTGTTAGCAAAGCTCGGAGCTGAGCTGCTGTTTCACAGCTGCCATGTGGCAGTGCCTTGGGAAGATCCAGCTACATGTTTTCCCAGCAGCCAGGCAGGTCTTGCGAGACCCACTCCAAGAGCCCAACAAGTCTCCGCTGAACGGCTGCGACCTTCTCAGTGTGCACAGCTCTGCCCTGCAGTTTTCCAGCCAAAGGTACTGGGGAAACATCTCTCACTCCCAAAGGAATGCTGCCCAAGCTTTCTGGGTAGCAAAAGCTCAGACAGGAGTTCAGCTCTAGGAGGTCTGAGCTCACTAAACTTTTGAACAGTTCTGGTTTCTCCATCATGTCCATTGCAGAGATAGGGCAGGAGACCAGTGCCACAAAGTCCCTTCTCACTGAATTCCCCAGCATGGTGCCATGTTCACGGCTCTCCTAACCTCTCACACCTGTTTGGAAATGTCTTGACAAAGCAGGGAGGGAAAACACAGCTGAAGGAGATTGAAAACAAAAAAAAAAACCAAACAAAAAAAACTCCAAAACAAACCAAAACAAACAAACAAAAAACAAACAAAAACCCAGAAGATGACACCCAGCCCTTCCCATCAGCCTCACGTGGTGTCCCCAGTCCCATCAACCCCTTGAGACACCAGGATATGACGTGCCACGAGCTGACAGACTTTTGGCAGAGTGGTTTATAGATGCCCACTCTCCCCACAGATATGCCAGGGCTTGTGAAAACTGGAGTGAAATGCCCCATAGAAGGAGACTGTACTGCTACCCACACGTTGCAAAACAAGAATACATCTTCCTGTATTTTTTTCCCTCCTAGGCACTCCAGGCCACTGCTCCTGGGGACATCACATTGCAGCACCTGGGTGCCCTCTCCTGCTCTCCAACAACTTAGGGCCACTTCCAGGAATGGTTAGGCCCAGGAACAAAGGAAATCCCTGAACCCAGCATCACAGGGATACCAGGAAGCTCCCCTGGGAGCTCTGTGCCCAGTACCAGCTCCTGCAGCATCAGTCCTGTCCCTGTAGATTTACAGGTACAGTGAAGTGTCCCAGAGACCATTTCCCCCATCACCAGCTCCAGGACTAACAAAGCACTTCCTTGGCCAGGAATCCATATAGGGAACACTTCAGGTGACAAAATGGGGCAGGTTCATGGAGAGAGGAGTCCTACCAGCATCTCCTGTGCTGTGCATGGCAGCACCTCAGGCTGGTCCCCTGCTGCCACCCCCAGAGCCAAGAAGGCAGCCCTGCAATGAAGTCAAAGTGCATTATTTCCATCTCCTTGCCACTGCCAAGAGGCCTCAAAATTCTTGTCTGTGGTTGCCCTGAGACAGGGCAAGCACCATGAACCAGCAGCCTCTGTGCTGGGATGGGAGCAGGAGAGCTTTTGACGAGGAGCTGATGTTCTCCTGCCTCCCCCACCAGCCAGCCAGGACTTCTGACATCAGCAGCATGGGGTTTCAGTAGGAGACAATCAGCATCTCCAGCATAGTATGGGGATATTTTGGGGACCTACATTCAAATTTCTGCATTTGAAACCCCATTTCTGTTGCCATAAACCATTTCATTAGGGCAAGATGTAAAGGCTCATAACCCCTCACCCCCACCGTGCCAGGCTGTCCCCAGCTCAGCCCAGGTTTCATGTCACGACTCCAGAGCCCATGACACGGCAAAGGCTGGCATGTCTCTTCCTATTCTGTGGATGTGGCAGCCTCCCCAGGCAAAGTGCCATGGAGCAGGGGAGTGTGGCTGTGTGCTCCAGGCTGGGGCCAGGCACAGGGCCAAGTGTCCCCTGTGCCAGCACGTCCCTCTGCAGCCGCAGCTCCTTGGGGCTTTGCCCAGAGAGGCACAAGGGACAGAAGCAGTGAGAAGACGTGGAGGCAGGAGATCCTTGCTGTGCCAGGATGTCTGTCCTGCGCGGGGACCTCACTGCCACAAAAGCTTTGCCAAACCTTCCTGTTGGCTCTGAGCCAGTGCTGGCTGCATCAGCTGAGCCCTCCGCCAAGACCACAGAGAGCCTGGAACCGAAGGGCTGTCTAGACGTCATCCCACACTCATTAAACATTCATTTCCTATAATGAAATGGCTTTTAATTTATCAACTGCTCTGCAGTTCCTTAAGGATCCCGCGCTGCACGGCGCAGCCTCGCTGCTGGCTGCACTCAAGGCTCCCATGGTGCTTTTCATGGGAAGCTGGAAGAAATCATTACGTAGGAGAGACACAGAGGCTCCCCTCAAAGTGACTCATCCAGATGAAGACATACAAAAGTGTCAGCGGGAGCTGGAATCCAAATGTATTCCTTGGTCAAGGAGGTTTTCTGTAAGCCAAGGCAGAGTTGACACCATGGGGCAGCAGAGAGAGTCTCCAGGCAGCCACATTCCCCAGATCAGGAGCATCCTCGGCCACTAAAAAATTAACCTAAAAATTAACACAAGTGACATGCTTCTCTGTGGTCTTTTGCCACAGGGAAAGTTTCTAAAATGAGAGGAAGGCAGGAGCAGAACAGCAGGGATGCTGAGGGAGGAGAGCAGCAGGCACGTGGCTTTGAAGCCTCCATTTCATCTGTCATCTCTTCTGGCAGGCAGAGCCCAAAGTTTCTCCAAGATGCATTAAAAACAGCAAAGAAAGAAAAGCCTCAGCAGGGCAGCTGCCAGAAAAGTGCTGCTTTTTCACCTGAAAGCTTCAAATGCACCAGAGAGCTGCAGCAGCTTTGGCAGGGAGAAGTGCCCAGCCAGGCTGTTAAATGGGTCATGCAGGCAAAATCCCTCTGGAGCACCCAGCATCCAGCACAGTCCTTAAAGTCCTGCAGAAAACTTGCAGGAGGCCATTGGAGGACAGTAAATCAGCCAGGCAGTGCCTGCAGCCGTGCTCTGCAATGCGGCTGGGGCTGTGCCGGCACTGCAGCACGCCTGGCACCCACCAGCCCAGGGCTCCCCCAGCCAGCCCTGGGGTACAGCTGAAGTCTAAACCCAGCCTTGCTTTGGAGCCCCTGCTGAAAGCCAGACAGGGAGGAGGTATTTACCAGGTGGCCCCATGAACAGAAGGTCTCAGGTAGCCTTTGGAAACAGGCAGGCACACAGCTGATTTGAAAACATACCTAATTTGAGTGTAGAAACCACACACAATTTAAAGGTGTATAAAACACTGACAATTTCAAGATGCCCTGATTTCTCCATCTGCACCTGATCCAGGGTCCAGTTCCTGGGTTTGCTTTGCAGGAGCCATCTCTGAATACAACCCCTCTCTGAAGACACCTTGCAGAGTGACCCAGGTGAAGCTATCCCAGCTCTCCTGCTATCTTGGATGTATTAAATCAACCACCTCTCCTTCATTTGAAATCATTGTCCCCAAACCTCCACAATGCCAAAGCCCTTTAGCAGTTCATTCCACCTGACTTTAGTAATTAGTTCCCTTAACTTCTCAATCCTCTTCACTTGGAAACGAAGCCTGTCATTGCCAATCCATTTTCTTCTCTTCCAGACAGTTTCAATGGAATCAGCCACCTCACAGGACAAACTTATTTTCCACAGGCTGCTCTCTTGCAGTGCCCTCACTGCATATCAAAAGCAAGACAAAAATAGCCTCACCTCCTGTTGGGTCAGTGAGCAGAGTCAGCCCCAGCGCTGCCGGCACAGTGAGCAGCCAGAACATCCCCACCCAGGGAACAGGGACAGTGCTGCCAAGGGTATGGGAGAAGTAAGAGACATGCCTGGGATGAAGCTTGATTATCCTGCCACTCCTCTGACAGGCAGTGTGTTCCACTCTGCTTGTCCTGCTTCCTTCCAGCATTTTGTGCTGTTCCTGGTTTCAGACACGAACATCTCTGTTGTGCCCTTGCCTTTAGGGCACTTCCCCACAGCCCTGTGTGCTGCCACTCCCCTTTCCATCAGTCAGCATTTTCTCCTGCTGCCCATCCCTCTTCCAGCCTACTACTTGCCCTTATTATGTGATTTCCTCATTTATCTGATTTTTATCACCCCATGTAACAAATTCATGGAAGAAAAAATCCATCCAAAGCTATTAACTTCAAAAATCCTGCCTCCAGCATGAGGAGTGCTGGAGCCATGGATTGGAAGATATTGAGGGAATATTCAGGGGAGCAGTCACTATACATTTGCTGTTTCTCTGCATTTCCCCAGGCATCCTCTCCTGCACACCCTCTGACCACTGCCAGCTCTTCATATACTCTTGACTGGGTTTTAAAATGAGATGCAGCTGAAATTG